CAAGCGAGCATCTCTTTCCTGGGGACAGTTGAAGTGTGTGTCATGCAGCTTGTCCTGAAATTCATGCTCTGCTTTTTAAGTGGCTTTTTGCTTGTGCAAAGATGGCAGTCATGCGTTGTCCAGGGCAAACGAAAGGGACTGGGTAGACTCTAGTCCTTCCTTAATCATTTGTGAACTGATCATCCCACAGCTTGGCACTGTTATGTGCCCTCGCAGCCCAGAAGGCCAACCGTACCCTGGGCTGCATCAAGAGCAGCGTGGCCAGCAGGTCAAGGGAGGGGATTCTCCCCCTCTACTCTGCCCTGGTGAGAGCCCACCTGCAGTGCTGTGTTCAGCTCTGGAGTCCTCAGCCCAAGGAAGACATGGACCTGCTCGAGCAGGTCCAGAGGAGGCCATGAAGATGATCAGGGGCTGGAGCAGCTCCCCTGTGAGGGCAGGCTGAGAGATTTGGGGCTGTTCAGCCTGGAGCAGAGAAGGCTCTGGGGAGACATTACAGCAGCTTTCCGGTACTTAAAGGGGGCTACAGGAAGGGTGGGGGCAATCTTTTTAGCAGGGCCTGTTGTGATAGGACAAGGGGTGATGGTTTTAAACTAGAGGAGGGTAGATTTAAACTGGATATAAGGAAGACATTTTTTACAGTGAGGGTGGTGAAACACTGGCACAGGCTGCCCAGAGAGGGGGTAGAAGCCCCATCCCTGGAAACATTCAAGGTCAGGTTGGACGGGGCTCTGAGCAATCTGATGTAGCTGAAGCTGTCCCTGCTCACTGCAGGGGGTTTGGATTAGATGGCCTTTAAAGGTCCCTTCCAACCCAAACTATTCCATGAGTCTATGATTATTTAGAGTTACAGGACTCAATACGCAGTATTTGATTCTGTTTTTTCCTGTTCCCTTGGACTTTGCTTTCCTTTGGTGAGGGCCCAAGGCAGCAATCTTTAGAAATAATGGTAAGGGCTGGCTGATTGCATTTAGGGGTTTCTAGGTGCCTTTTGGCACCAAGCCTTGAGACCACAGGGAGCAACACTCGCCTTGCCCTCGATCTCTCCAGGCTGTGTGCAAAGCATGGAAAGCCAACTGCTCCACGTGTCTTCCAGGGTGGACCACTGGGTAAACTGAGAGGGTTTAAGCTCAGTTAAGACATCACAATACTTTCCCCAATATTTTCCTTTTAACCTCAGCTTCATTTGAAGAGCACAGTTCAGTTGAACTGTCTAGTTATGAGGCTACCTTTCTTTTTGCATTAAACTTATTTAACGTTGGCTTCTTTTTAAGAGCAGGGTATGCCAAAAAGTGAAATTCTACCTTAATTGGAATTAGCGTGACCCACGGGGGATGCGAAAGAAACAGGTAGCCTTAGAGTTTGTCAGCACAGAAAACGTTTTAGTTGTGTAGCAGCATGGGTAAACTTGTTCCCTGAAAGCGTAGCCTGTGCTAGAGAAGTGTTTCAAGCAATATGCTAATGAATTAAAGTGTATTAAGAGGAGAAAGAACAGGGGTGGTGATGTAGCTTTACCTTTGTGAGCATTTTGCTAGCACAGCTATGCTCTTCTGAAGGGTGTGTTTAATTCTCTTAATTGACATGACGTTGGTACTACTTTTAAGTGCTTATTAGAGTATGTCCCTCTAGATCAAATGTGCCTGCACATACAGTTATTCGTTAATAGATTTAAGTCTGGGCCAATTAAGTGTTCAGGCCATGAGTTAACTGGGAAAAGGGGAAAGAAAATCAAAACAAGCCATTGGAGCAGTATTTCCCCATGTAACTAAATCACTTAAACTGTTATAGGGGACACAGATACAACCTTCCTAAGCATCTGAGACCTCCTAGCCTTTCTTATGTACTGAGCTATTCCCAGACTTTCTTTGAATCTCTTCTTTAAGGAGTATTCCCATATTTAACTAACTCTGTGATCTAGCCCAGTTGAAACCCTTCTTTTTACACCAATAGTCAAGTGTTTCTGACATTGTGGCTTATTTGAAATGGACTGAAAACCCAGTGAGGAGTCTCTTGTCTTTGTTTTTAAAGTCTGGGTACTCTTATGGTAATACTTTATAAGTCCATGAGAGCAATACTTCTGTAAGTAGGGAGGTTTAGGTGGCTTTACAGCATTGCTTTGAAGCCACAGTGAGGCACAGTGTGATTCAGTGGGTGAACATTGGTTCCTTCATCCTGTGCTGTTTGTGACTATTCAAGTGGTTGATGTTTTGTGTAAGCAAAGATGTGCAATTATATCTTGTCCTAACTACTGGCTGATTTTCCTTTTGCTCTTTCTGTTTAGACAGTATTTTAGATGAGGCAACAAGGAAAGACCTTTTCACCGACACTTTCTGTAAGGTTTGCAGGGCAGTGCTGCAGTTTGAGTCTCAAAGGATGTCACACTATAAGGTAGGCTGGAAAGGAGAGTTTCTTGTAGCAAGTACTGGGGCTTTGGTTTGATTGTGTGGGATTTCTACATGGTGTTATAAAGGACTTTTTGTAGTGTGTTCCTCAAGGCTTATCCTAGGCTTAGACATTAACCAGACTTGAATGTTATGGAAGTTGTGGGTTTGGTGACAGTGAAGGACAATCCCCTGCATATTGCAGCATGATTTTAGAAGGAACTGAGCAGGTTCAGGCCATGCTGTATATGGGACTGAAGCAGATCTGCACCACGTGAGCCAGCACAGGGCATTGCTAGCTCTAGAGGAGGGAGGTCATGCCTCCTGATGCTTCACCCAGCGATATACACATGCTGCTCTGTGCACCGGTGTCTGCTTGAGGCAGGTGGTATGAATCGTGCTGAAGGCATTTCTTGGAACAACTGTGGGCCTTCGAATGTTGTGGTAGCCATGCACAAGTGTGCTTTATTTTGCAGCTTGCTCTTGAGGGTGTGCAGGTTTGCAGGCACTGGCGTATCTGTCTTTTTCTTTCTTCTTGAAAAAGTCAAAGATTAAAATGGCATTTGCTGTCAGAAGTCTTTCTTGCTATTCACATTAAGACTCAGGTCTTGCAAGGTGTTGTATTTACTTCAGTTATGTTGTCAGAACTTCACAGAGTTCAGCCCCTCAGTTTGATGTTCTGTTTCTCGAATCCAAATCCAGAGGATAATAGATGCAGTTGTAGTCACCTGACTTCACCATTACAAATCAACCTGATGGAGGTAACTGACTCTTTTGTTTCTCAGTTGTGTTATCTAGCCAGATATGATAGAAACCCTTTCTCTTTGAATTATATTGTTACAATATATTGTAGTTACCTGACTTCACCATTACAAATCAACTTGATGGAGATAACTGACTCTTTTTTTTTCTCGGTTGTGTTATCTAGCCAGATATGATAGAACCCCTTTCTCTTTGAATTATATTGTTACAATATCCTGCACTGCTCTTCAGAATCCTTAAAAGACTTCTGAAAAGCATCAGATCAGAGAAGGCAAGTTACTACTTTTGCTCTGTAGGTTACTGTATAGGGTGGTGTGGGGGTAAGTGTGTTACAAGTGCAAGAGTTTGAAGGTTATGGGTTCAGAGAGCATCTAAAAATTAGAAAATAACTGTATCTGAGGGAAGTATACATTAACACCTGGTTTTAGTTATCTGGACTATTGTATCCTCAGTAGAAAGGTATAGAAATCTCCATAGACTGACTCCAAGCTGGAGGTACTTCAGCTCTGCTTCCAGGAAAACCTGTTTCTCTCCACTGAGTGTATGGGGAGACTAGACTTATTATTTAGGAAAGTGAGTTGAGTTGTGCTGCCTGTCCTTCTTCTGTGCTAGGACATGAGACAGCCTTGATGTCGAGCCGCCAGGCTTAGTTGTAAAGGAGCACAGCAGACTTGCTCTGTGGCGTGGCTGCATTCCTGTCCTTACCTTTTTTAGTGTCCTGGTTTGTAAGAGGACATGTCAGGATTTTTGATTCCCCAAAGAGTTGAGAGTAGATGACTCTGAGGACTGCTTGAGGCAAAACGTTCTGAGTAGTGCTAAGTACTATATTCTTAATTAAAGTGTAGTATTGTTGCATGAGCTGGCGCTTGTCTGCTTGTGGCTCTGCTTTATACAAATACAATTTGGGAAGCATTGAAAGCCATTTTTGATGAACGACGTCCCAGTCACTGGATGTATCACTGCTTGGATCCTTGTTACTGAAATGAATAAATCTAGTCTCTTCCCAGGGCAAAAAACATGCTCAGAAAGTTCGTTTTTACATCCAGATGCATGGTGAGAAAGATGAGAGGCAGGAGCATGGCAAACAGAAGAAAACAGATTGTATCAGTTTTCAGGTGACTATTCCTCCTCATCACTGAATAAATAAAAATGTTTCCTTGTATACTTCAGTGGATGCTTGTAACTGAGCTTGCCTTTGTCTGCTTTCAGATGGATGGGAGCAGAGCAGTGGACAGAAACAAATACTGCAATCTCTGCAACGTGTTTTTTACTTCCCCAGTTGTTGCTTTGTCTCACTACTTGGGAAAGGTCCATGCTAAAAAGCTGAAGCAATTATCAGGAGGCCAAGCCCACATGCCAGCACAGAGCCTGCAGCCTGTTCCTGGTAAGAATGAAATAGTTTGCTTTGCATGCGTTTTCCTGTCACTCTCTGAAACAAATATAGAGAAGTATCTTCCTACACTTGCCATGTGTCTATGCCTCTCTATTCTGCCAAAGCTGTGGAGCTGTCTTGTGGTAACTCCTTAGGTGAACAAAGATACTACCTTGTGCAACTCTGAAGCCATGGAACCTTGCTTTCAAATTCCCTGCCTTTCATTGACTGAACCTGAAGGCAAATATTTCTGATTTTTTATTAATGAAAGGTGTTTATTGTTGTTCTGAGGATTCACTGAAGTCCCAACAAGGTGTTCCTCTGATAAATTAATATGATAAGACATTAAAAACCAATTAGGCCACAAGCAACACTTACCTGGTGTTAGTCCTGTACAAGTTGCTGAACTGTATTTAAAGATGGAGCGGAGTGTGTGTACTCTGAATCACCCTCTGCAGGGTACATTACTCTTCTTGGACTGTATCAGGACCTTAGAGTGACCAGCCATCAAACACAGATGGTTTTTTGGTATCTAATCGTGGGATTTCTGAATATTCCAGGGTTGTGTTCCTTATCAGTCTGTACTTTCATATCCTTGCAAGGACTAAGTTATTTTGTAGTCCTTGCAAGCAGTTCAGCACCCAGCAGACTGTTCTTTCCAACTCTGTAGTTCTGCAGTCACCTGTTTTGCTCTGTGGAGTTGTTTTAGCCTTTCCTTTGCTGTGCTAACAGCAAATTTATCCTCTACTTCCCTGTCTCCAGCTTTTCAGAAGCCATTGGCTGAGAAGCCCTCGTTGCCTTCAAAAGCTGAAGAGTCTTTGTCATTCTCCAACACGAGGTTGAAGTTAGATGATCCAGACAAGTACTGCAAGCTCTGCTGTGCTCCTTTCAATAATCCATTTGCAGCCCAGCAGCATTATGTTGGTAAGAAACACAGAAGAAATGAAGCACGGAAGAAGATACTGGAGGAGCTTGGAGACAAAGGTGTCCCTGCTGAATCCAGCACGAACAGTAAGTAGAACATGAGCAAGTGTTGCAATCTCTGAGTGTAGCTTGAGCACTCAGTTCTGATTTGTTCAAGGAAAGGCTCCGATATATGCAAGGAAATGTCTTCTCCTGTTACAGAACAAGTTCGTTTCTTCCTTTCTGTTTGGTCTATCAACTGCTAAAGTTCTGTTTCTGACAGAAAATATTTCTGATTGACTGGGAGACCCAAATCCAGTCCTCACCGAGTTCTGCAGTCAAATTCAAAGCGCAGTCCCCTAAATCCAAAGCCAGGATCCGTTGTATCTGTGTCATTCTTGAGATGTTCATCCACCTTGTTCTTAAAAACTATCTATGCTGGAAACTACACAACCTCTATGAGAAACATCTCCCAGGACTTCTTGATCTTTACCTTCTCGACCTTAAAACCTTCTACTGACATTGAACTCGGCGCTCTGGGACCACAATACATTTTTTCACTCTGCACAGAACAAGATGCAGACACAAGATTCAAATCATTTGTTTGCTTTTTGTCGCATTCCTTAAATAATTGAAAACTTGTGTCATGTCTTCCCTTAATCTTCTATTCATGGAACTGGTTGTTGTAATTATTTCGATCTTCCCATATAAGGAAATTTGTTCCCTAAACAGTCATTGTTCTCTAGCCTCCCATCAGGACTGACTCCAGCTCAAGCACCGTGTCTAAAGCCAAGGCCCTATCGCTGTGCAGCTCCCAGGGTGGCATCATCTGGTCCTGTGCAACAGAACTGTCAATCCTTTCTTTAGCGAGGAATTCAGAATCCTACCTGATAGTCAAAAGTCATTGTTAGTGTAAAACAGCTCTCATTAAGTCATGCTATAATTTAAACAAAATACTACATTTTGATGCAAAGCGAGAGCCTATTGGAATTAACGCTGCATTTTGCAAATGGATGAAGCTCTTGGGTTTGCATGGGCAGAAAGTCTGCTTCCTGGTTTCAGAAGACTTGGGTCTATGGGGAACACAGCTTGTGGGAGAGGAGCAAATTACAATCTAGGAAACACAAGGGTTTTCCTCATCTGACCTTACCTTATATTTGCCTGAGGCTCTGTGTACCACATTCATAATGTCGGTACTGACAATTCCCTGAGCATCTTTGCAGGGTTGAACTAACGCTGCATGAACATTTGAGCAGGTAATGTTTAACTGATCTTATTTCAGTTAAATCTGGACTAGCTGGATTGGTATCTGTTGGTGCTTGCTTTGGGTCAGGTATGTACCAGTAGTATTTAATTTTTCAGTGCAGATCGTTCTCCTCAGCACTTGACAACAGTTTATTGGAATTATCTTGGATCACTTCAGTCATCAGAAATACTCCTTGTTAATGTTTAAACAATGGTAACCTCACCAGCTCCCTTCATAAATATTATTCTAGTGTAAAACTGCAGCAGAGACTTTATATCTATGTATAGACATGGTTTATGGGAACATTGTGTTAGGACTCTTGCATGGGGTGGGATCATGATGTGCTTTGAGTTTTGCCTTTCATTTGTAGTCTCTCTAACCTACAGGTTCCTTCTTTTCACCCATCGGGGTTGGTTATTACATGTGCCCTGTATGTAACATCTCACTCACATCTATAGAAACGTACCAGTCCCACGTGCAAGGAAATAAGCACCGGATTAAGTAAGTCCGTAAGTCTTTTGTTACTGTTCCTCTGTAGTTTGTACTTTCAAACTTTTTTATTAGCCCTGTTGTCTGCTGTTAAGTGACTTTGACTAGTTTGTGGTGGTTTTGGTTTGGTTTGGGGGTTTATTTGTAGTTGTTTGGTTTGCCAGTTTGAAGGGGCACTGTCCATTTAAACATACTTGTGACTGAAATTCAATCTTAGAGTTCCCACAGTTGCAACTTCAATGACAACCCACAGGGGAAAGGTCCTGAAACCTGTATGGTTTTCCCACTTATTTTGCTAACTGGGGATAACAGCACCTGTTTTGGTACAGCATCTTCAGTGCTCACTCTAGAAGGAAATTATCTGAATTTAAGGTTTCCTACTGACAGGGCAAAGTAGACCTTAATCCCCAAACGTGCAAGTCTCCATCAGTTGTGTTGCTTTCAGGGTTCATCAACGTGCATCTTACATTTGGCATAAGGTCATTTATGGGATAGATGATAGCTCTTGTACTTTCCCCTTTACCCAGAAGAGGGCTTGTAGACTGTGTTAATTGCAGAATGGATATTGCGGTGATTTAAGAGGTACTTTTTGGAGATTGCTGTGCAAGTCAGCTAAATATCAAAATTGCTTACGTGTTAAGCATTTTGGTAAGACATATTTTAAGTGAAGGCACAATAGTAATATAACCACAAGAGACTAATGTAGAACTTACACAATTTTAGATGTCTATTTAGTCGACAGAATTAGAGTCCCCAAAACCAGGATGTGAGGAACTGCTACAGGCCTATCTGTAGTTTAACAAAATGAACATGTGAAACTGGTGAATTAAGGCAGAACAAGATACATTTAAGGGATGAGTCTTCAGAGCTGCGCTTCCCACAGGGGATATCTTTGTCATCTAACCACTTTATCTTCTAGCCTGAGGAAAGGTAGAGTGGAATATAATCTGGTAGATAGTTTTGCCTTGGGACCACATTTATCTTGTTTGGGGTTTTTAGCAACCAAGGTTGGTTGTTTCTGTTCTGTTTTGGTTTTGCTGTGGAGTCACACAGTTTGCCTGAAATTACTGTACTGCAGCTGTTCAATGGAATGAATCTCATAAAGAAATTAGTAACTTTATTACTTGACAGTCAGTACATATCTGCAGCTAATTGGAGATTAGTTAATAAGAGAGAATCTTAATTTTTCTCTTTGAAAAGTAGTTTTAAAAATGTGTGCAGTCATTTTAAAAGCATCTTATTCTTGCAGCACCCTAGGTCACAAGAAACTCATTTGGTCTTTGTGAAGTTATTCCGGATTTTCAGTTTTCACAAAAAGTAGAATCTATTCCTTGTAACTTCAGCTTTACAGATATGACCATGTGTAACAGGGTCCATGTAGTTACACAGAACAACACACTTGGATGATGTTCTTTTTCTAACTCTGGAAAGAATGACTTTTTGGTTTTTTAACTCAACAGATGCTAAGCAAATTTGTCAGTATTAATAACCAAGGCTTTCTATCCAATTTATGCAGAGAAACAGGGCTTGCCAATCTCATGAAGAAATCAAAGAAACCATATGACTCCTGTCAAGATGAATTAAGGGATTACATTAAAGTTCAGAAAGATAGAGGTCTAGAGCCAAGAAGGCATTTAGGAAAAGCAGAAGAGGAAGAGCTTCAGGATAAAAACATTGAACAAGGAAGTCACCTTGGTGAGGTTATATCTTCAAACTTTAAGCGTGAACAAGCCCAGCATTCCAGTCTTTTCTCAAAAACCCAGTCACCTACAAATACTGGGGAAAATAGATCACCAAGCTGGCCATCAGCTTGTGAGCATGCAGTGGAAAATACACCTAATTGTCACTATAACAAGGGATACTGTAAAGAAGAGCAAGCATCTGAGGTGGCCACCATCAGAGATGAGAGCTTCAGCCTATCAGTTACAGAATCTAGAGACTGCTATGAATTTATGCTTGCTGAAACTTCGACCAGCTCCTCCAGAAAAGAACAGAAATTTCAGATGAAACATTTTGAGGAGGAAAAATACATCAGTGAAGAGCTGAAATGTAAGAAAGAAGCCACAAAGCAGAAAAGAAAGAAGAATAGTGAAGGTGCAAATTTTGGAAAAGAAAGTGAGACACAAAAGAGAATTAAATTTGAGATCGACTTGGTAGATGAGAAGAAATCGAGACCTTATGAAGTCAGAAGACCTAAAGAAAGCCCCACTGAGAAAGGGAACGGTAAGCACAAAAAGGATAAAAAGAAGCCACAGACAGATGGCAAAAGAGAAGAGGAGCTACTTTGGGATGGATCTGTCTTGGGATATTGGTAAAGATTTTGCTTAGCTTTAAGAAGTTGATTCTGTTTGTAGACTCACTTAACTATTTTGTGCTGTACTATGACTTCTGGTTTTTTAAGCAAAGTTTTTGTTCCAATCCAAAAATGAGAAAAAGCCTGTTTTCTGAAATTTTTGGGCAGTAGGTAGGCATCAGTTTTTAATCATCTTACCCATACAGCAGCTATTGCAAGGATGTCAGTTTGAAAGTCTGTAATCTCTTCTGGAATATACCACAAATACTGTTGGACTTTCACCAAAATGCTTCTTTCTAATATTAATGGTGCCTGCTATTGAGGTGTCTATTATTCTTCTAGGAAAGTACATAAACACTGCAGTGTTCCTGGCCATGTCTGTAACCATTTCTCTGACAGATTTAAAAGGAGAATGTGAAAGGATTTTGATTCCAGACCTTGTTTGCTGTTGAGGTTTTTTTGGGTTTGGTTTGGTTTTTTTTGTCATCCAGTTCTGAGTTGAAAATGAATCCATTAAACATGCAAATGGTTGTCAGTTATACATTGTCTAGCAGATTTTTCTCATTGTAATCCTGATTTTTTGTTTAATTTAGGAAACACAGAGAAGATGCAATATGCAAAATTAGTTGCTAACATGAGGCTACGTTCTGCTTCATTGACTCAACGTAATGTACAGAAGGAATGTTAGCGTGAAGCTGGATTTGTGATCCAAACAATACCCTGAAAAATCAGTAACAGCTTTGTGTTTCCATTTTAAATGTCGTGTCACCAGACCTTCATTCACAATATGGATTTATGTTTTTGTGGCATGAGCACTGCTGTCCTACCTGTGTGCAATTAATTGAGAAACTCAGATGATGGGGTTCAAGCTCTTGTGTTGCTCCCGGGACTTTCAGATGAGACCTTCAGTAAGCCACAAACACTGGAAACACATCAGTCGCTACAGGGCCTGGGGCAGGCAGGCTGCCCACAAAAAAGAGGGGAATTCCATTGTCAGCCTGCCCTGGGCAGAGCTGGAGTTGTGCAGAGGATTTGGAGCCTGTGTGGTGTCTCACTGAAAGCTGCTGGACTGAGTAAATACGGTGAAATTCTGAAAAGTGATCATTTAAAAGCAGTTTCGTGAGACACCATTTAGTGTCTCTCTTGTTGCCTTCAGGTTGCAAGGAAGGTTTTTCTGAGCCTTGATGTGGGATCTAAAGCCATCCTACTGTTGGTTTGCAGCACTCAGACTGCACTTTCCACTGGTTTAGTCTGTTTGTAGAGACACCTGCGCTGAGCCGCTGCTCTCGGTGTATCTGCCCAACTGAAACTTTCTGTTGTGGGTTGTTGTGGTGTGGGATGGAGTAGAGACCAGGGCCCTCAAGCCTTGAATTCTGTCTAATTTGTTTTAGTTTTAGTTTTGCGAGTGTAAGTAGGTTGAAAAGCCGTGAAAATAATGTGGTCTGCTTTATTTTTTGAGGATTTGTGTTTTGTAGTTGATTGCGATCTTGGATTTAGATTTTTCCTGCTGCTGGTAAAGTTACAAATCTGGGTTGTTAGTATCTGACCCGTCAGGTAACTTACTCCATCCTCTAACAGACAAGCTTAACTAGATACATGTACAACTACACACAGCTGAGCAGGTACATGGAGGTGCCAATAACAATTCAGGTCAGGAGTCTCAGGAACCTGAACTCAGAGGTCTATGGGGATTCAGCTTTAAGTTAGAAGTGTACTTAGTGTCCTTGTTCTGGTCCCCTTTCCGAGTCTCTCCTGGGCTTTGTCTGAGGCTGATAATGCCCCTGCTTTCTTCAGTGGCTCTTCTTCCTTGCTCAGGAGTTACATGCCTTTCTGTATCTTCCCGAGGACTCTTTCAGCTTTCTTTAGCCTTTGCTCACCTGATGATTAAAGTCACACATTAATAACTGCTTTTCTCATAATTTCCTTGGGCAGACAGTGGGTTCAATCATGATTTACTTATGCTGACTGTTGGTGACAGCTGGGAGCTGTTGTAAGCTGCCAACTGCAAGCAGATTGTATTGTCCTGCAGTGTAACTGGGGGAGGTTTCAAGCACTGTCTCCTACATATACTCTTTGCTGTGAGAATAACATGGGCAACGCTGCAGCCCGTGTCCATGTAAGACAAATAATGACTTTCTCTTCTCCCAGGACACCTAATTTAGCAAAGCAGGAATCGTAAGATCTCTCTGATATTTCTGCCACTTTGTCAAATAAGGCTGTACAAATATGGCCAGTGTCTTACAATTGCTAGGGAACCCTCGCTCCATATGGTCACAGATGCCTACTTTCCTTAGGAAGTCAGCCTAAGAAAACAATTAGACCTCCAGCAGACAGAAGGGCCACGGTGTAGTACTCCCCATGTACACAAGTAACAGACTAATTGAAGGGAAGTAAGTGCCAATTTACTTGCTTTTGAAATAAGAGAGTTGCACTCTTGGAAGTCAGAAGACTTCCAAGTCTTCATTAACAGCTCTGAAAATATGGTAAAAGCATGACTTGGCAGAACAAGGAGTTGGGTTTGTTTTTTTCAGTGATTTTTTCCAAATCTGTACTTGAGCTCCATACCGTCCTCGCCCACCCACTGGAAGGTGCTTGCATAAACTGCGTGGAATAGCTCTAAACAAAGTTTCTTGGTATCAAACATGATAAGATCCCAAAAGAAGTGTTCTTGCTGCATTTTGATTAAAAAATTATCTATGATGTAAATGCTGTGAATGAGACATAGCAGATTCTCATCTAGCAGAATTGACTAAAGGCTCCAGTTTAGGTAAGTGATACAATTTTCAAAGGTCATAATGACTATTGTTCATGTGTTTCCTGATTGCATTTCACATTTGTCCAATAGTTGTCTACATGCTAGACATTTTAAAATACTAGGTCCAGAGATTGATGACTTTATTTACCTTTTCCTATAAATATGTCTGTTTTCACTTCTTAGTAGCAAAGGAATCCACGCTGTCTCTAATGAAAGCGAATTCTGCTCATCTGTTCCTCCCATTAAAGCTACCAAAACATTACAATTCTGATTTGAGAAACAAATGAAGTCACAGAACTTTCTGTCACATCTGAGCAGAAAGACTTACAGACCAGAGAAGCTGTGGCTGCCCCCTCCCTGGCAGTGTTCAAGGCCAGGCTGGATGGGGCTTGGAGCAACCCGGTCTAGTGGAAGGTGTCCCTGCCCGTGGTGGGGGGTTGGAACTAGGTGATCTTTAAGGTCCTTTCCAACCCAAACCATTCTATGAGTCATTGTATGATTCATCTGACTGGAGACCCCTTGGGGTCCATGATGTTTTATAGAGGTATGAGGGTTCTTCTGTGAAGGTCCAACAGCGTGAGATTTGATCTGTCTCCTCTTTCAGTAAACTTGTGTGCTGCTTCGCTTTATTAAAGAATTGCTGTGTATCAAAAAGGCAAAACCTGTGTGCACGTAGCAGAGCGCATAAACAAGGTTAAAACTGCCGTTTAAAACTGAGCTTCAATGAAGTGCAGGAATCTTCGATTTTGGCTCTGACCCTGGTTCACCTGGATCAAGTACTTAATTCTTCCAAGGCCTCTTTTTTTTTCATCTGCAAATGGTGCAGAAGAGAACCTGGCAGATTTATCCTGCACATGGTGTGTTCCTGAAGCAGACTGCTGCTGCCCGTGTCCCCTCCTTTCTCCTAAAGGTTGCCATCCCTGGGACATCCTTGTATCCCTGCATCCGCCCTTCTCGTTCACTGGCAAGCAGATCAGCTTAAACTCTCCATAATGGCAGCTGACATTAGAGAGAGGCAAGGCCACCCTTCTGCCGGAGCGGGAATTACGTGAAAAGCCTGAAAGCGTTGGAGTTGCTGGTTCAATGAACACGTAACAGAGCCTAGGTGCTTACCTCTGAAGTGTTCGGTGTCCTATGAAGAGGGGCATGAATTTGCTGTTCTCCAAAATACTGACACTTTTTTTATAGTTTGTTTTCCTTTCTACGACTTTTTATACTTTGGTTTCATGACTGGCTGCAGTATGTGAAAAAGCGTAGTGAGATCCTAGTGCGAGGTTTGCCTGAAAAAGGCCACAACAGAAACAGGACATCTCTTTCTGCGTCCTGTGAAGTGAGCAAAAAGCTGTTTTCACGGTGGAAGGTTCTCATCTGAAACCTTGCTATAAAAGGGAGATCCACTGCAGTCGCCTTGCACGCCCTGAACTCAGGCTGTGGTTTCAGCCAGGCACTCGGGGAGTGCTAACACCTGGTAAGTTAACCCTGCCGTTGGCCTGTGAGACGTACCCTCGTCGTATCTCACCTGCCAGCTTGTCCAAGCATATTCCTGTAAAGACGGAGAGGCATTCAGCGGCAATCAGTGTAAATCCCCTGAATGCAATGCCTCGAGCTACATCTCAAATGCACCATGTATCTGTGGAATCAGATTACAGTGTAAAATGGTCGTTTGAGCTAGTTAGAGGACTATTACAGTTTAATTAAATTAAGGTATTTTGCTCAGCATAGAGCTCTTGGCCAGCACTGCCATCCAACAACACGGAAGCTGACGGTGTGCTTAATGGCTGTATTTATCAGCCAGAACACCAAGATGAAAGCACCAGGGTGAGGACTGGGAGATGTGGATTCTCTTTCCAGCCTTTCCACAAGCTTCTCTGTGATTTACGACTTGTCAGGAACGTGGTGCCAGATGAGCTCTTCCAGCTGCACCTTTTTTAACCTTAACATGTTACAGCTGCTGGTGGTTCTTCACATCTGCTGGTGGAAATGACCTGAGGAAGGAGGTTACAGCCCTGTCAGATCTGCTGGTGTCTTTCCAGCTGTACCTGTTTCTGATCCTGCTTATGTTTTCAGAGTGAGGTGGTGAGCAGCTAGGCACAGTATCTTTTTAACCTGACCACCTGTAGCAGTTCTTGACTATACCCTTAAACTGGTGATGGATGCAGGTGTCACGAAAGTGGGTCACAAAAAATGGATAAATAGGAAAGTGTAAATAAGTGCAGTGCCATAAATCTTTCTGTGAGAAAGCTTGGAAAAAGAGCAACCGTATTCCT